CTGGGATTAGGGTCTGCCATGGTCGTCCCATCTCCCAGTGAATGGTAGTGCTCACCTTGTTTGTAGATGAGGCAGGACCCTGGACATGGGATGTCACCAGCACAGTACCTGGTACTTGGTGCTTTGCCAAATTCTCATTCTCTTAAACTCATGATAGAGGCGGTTTCTTGCAGTATAGAGCTGTCTCTTCCTCTTTGTGCCTGGGAGTGTTTATGAGAGTATGTCTCCCTGCTGGGTGTGGCTCTGTTCTCTGACTACCAACCCCTCGACTGGTTATGAGTGTCTAGGGCTTTCCCTCTGGTGGAGGTCTCTAATTCTGCTTGTGAGTCATTGCATTCTCTGAATAAAAACTGCTTTATCTCTGGACTTGTGTGTATGGCTGGTTGGTTAGCATATAGGGTGCTGCTGTGCTGGAAGTATCCCTGTCATTGGGGTCCTCCCTGATGTATGTAGGTGGAGTGTGTCTCTCTCCCTTGAAGTATCACCTTTGTGTACAGTTTGTGCTAAGAGGATACACAGCCATGTTCCCTTCTTGCATGTATCTTGTTTTCAGGTTTGGCCCATTCAGGCACTGAGGCCTTTGGGCTTGTCACTCAGAGAGTGAGCATCTGTTCCTGTCATCACAGGCAGTGACTGTAAGGCTGCATGATGCTGTAGCAGCAATTACCTTGAGCCTGTTCCCGGGGGAGAGGAAAGAAAAGGCCCGGTTCCTTCATGACAGACAGGAGAAAATGCTTCTCTGGTCCTTGCCAGGAACTCTGCTCATGGCAAGGACTCTGCTTCCTGGGTGAACCCTGTGGGCACAGGCAGAGCCCTGATGCTGGGTACATCTTTATGGTTTTGCTTACAGAACAGGGCATTCTGTCATGGCATCTGATCTGAATTGTGTGTGTCCCTGTGTCCTCTCAGTTCTGCACCTAGAGTGTCCTTTTTTTTTTAAAACAAACAAACAAACAAACAAACAAACAAACAAACAAAAGAAAATGATACTCGGGAGACAGAGGCAGGCATATTTCTGTGAGTTCAAGGCCAGCCTGGTCTACAAAGCGAGTTCCAGGCCAGCTGGGGCTACAGAGAGACCTTGTCTCAAAAACCAAACCAAACCAAACCAAAAAAAAAATCCCAAAAAAGAAAATAATTTATTCAATTACATGTATTTGTGAGTACATGTGAGTGCAGGTTCCCTCAAAGGCTGGATGTGGCAGATTCCCTAGAGCTGGAGTTACAGGACACTTGATGTGGGTGCTGAGAATTGAGCTCAGGTCCTCTGGAAGAGCACTCTTAACTGCTGAACCATCTCTTCATCCCCAAAGAGCAGCCTCACCCCTTCACTCTTTTTCTGTCCTCCAAGCAGCCTTCTGCCTTAGGGGATCTCTACTACACCCCCATCCCTTCCTATTAAAAAGGACACCAAATCAATCTCCAGTGGGCCACAGGGCTGAACCTAGGTGACCTGGGTTCCAGGACCCTTACATGCCTCTAGTTTCACCTCTCTATACTTTCCTTTCTATATGTGTGAGTAGCAGATAGAATTCTGTTAGGAAACTGGTATCTGTGCTGTCTAAACACAGCAATGGCAGCCACCTGTGGCTGTTGGGCACCTGTAATGTGGTGGCTGAAACCAACGAGCTACTTAAATTTAAAGCTGGGTCTGGTAGTGTACCCTTGTACTCAGGAGGTGGGAACAGGAGGATCAGGAAGTTCAAGGTTATCCTCAGCTACATGGCAAGTTTGAGGCCAGCATGGACAATCTGAGACCCTGTTTCCAAAAAAGAAGCAAACACCGCCCCCACCAACCAACCAAAAAGCACAGGCTAGAGAGATGGTTTAGTGGTTAAGAATGTGTGTTATTCTTGCAGAGGACCTGAGTTTAGTTCTCAGCACCCATGTTGTGTGGGTACAACTGCTTATAAACTTCAGTTTCAGGGGGATCCAATGCCTCTGGCCTCCTTGGGCTACTGTACTCATGTGCATGTACGCACACATACATATAATTAAAGTTTTTAAAATCCATAAATTTTTAATTTAATCAGCCTAAAATGATTTTATTTTATTTTAGGCTTTTAGAGACAGGTTCTCATATAGTCCAGGCTGGCCTTGAACTACTCTGTAGCCCAGATTACATTGAATTCCTGATCATTTTGCCTTGACTTTTTGATTGCTTGGATTATAGGTATATACCACCATGCTGGGCTAATCAGCCTAAATTTAAAAAGCCACGTTGGTTAGTACACCTCTGAAGTTTACTCAAGCTCCAAAGGCTTGTGATGAGTGACTGAGTTGTGAGGAATTCCCCATAGTGCCAAAGACCTTCCTTTGGATGCCCTGGGAGGCCTAACTTAACCTGTGTGGGAGGAAAGGGAGGAGCATCCAGACTTAGTACAGGCTCCAGGGGTAGAGGACAGACCAAGGGCTGGGACTCAGATGCAGAAAACAAGGCCTTTGCCATCATGGCGTCACATGTGCATCCCATGCCCATCTGGATTGAGTGAGAAGGGAGTCCTTCCTGGCTGTGTCAGGACAGCAGGGTCAGTGCCAGAGCAGATAGGTACTTGGCAGCAGCCCCGCCCCCCCATGCACCGCCCGAAAGCCACGGAGTGCTGGGCCAGGACTAACTTGGAGCATCAAGTCCAATGGTTCCTGTTCTCACCAGTTGTAAGAGCTTTTCAGAATGACTTTTCCCTTGGAGGCCGCCTGGGTGAAGCACAGAGCAAGTCCTGTTGAGCCTCAGTGCTTTTCTTCTAGGGTCCTGGATCCTAGGGCTCAGTTAAGAGAAGCTGGCAGGGAGGTCCTGAGGAGTCCCAGCCCCTCTGACACCTGGGGCCTGGCCCGGAAGGCACTCGGTGGACTAGGCTTTAGGCGTGACCCTGTGCATGTCTGGAGCTGTTGCTGCCGACTGCAGTGACTCACCAGGGAAGGAGGGAGGGTGGGGCTGCCATGTGGGCGAGAGTGAGCTGGCACGCTCTCTCCCCTCTGCTGGCTCAGCACCAGGATGCTTGGCTGAACAAGGGGCCCTGTACAAGGAGGAAGACGGGCACTGGGGCAACCCTAAGGGGCAACTTCATTTCTTAGAGGCCTGGGCTAGAGCTTTTTACCTTCCCTGCTGGCTTCTCAGCGCCAACACTGGGGCAGGGCTGACCGTTTCATATTGAGAAGAGTCAGTGTGACTTTCCTTTTGAAGCAGCCTCTCCTGCCTGCGGGGAAGGCAAGGTCGGGAGTGTTTCCCGAGCTCGCACCTGTGCTCCTGTGTTGTCAAGACGGCCGGTGATAAACACTGCATTTATAAGTTTGTCAGATGCAAGAACAGGTGTGGTGATCTGGGCTTTATTTCTGTGTTTACCTTTCGTCCATGTTGCTTTCTGCCTGACACAGGAACTGCTAAGTGCCCATGAAATTCTAAGAGGCACTGTCGCATTCTAGAGGCCAACACTAGCACCTTTGAAGGCCCATGTATATTTCATTCCCAAGGAGGCTTTTAAGCCTTCTGGAACATTGCAAGCTCCTATCTGTCACACCCAGAGCACCTTACTTATAATTTATGTCCAGGACAGGATTCTAAGTCTTTTAAATCTCCATATCTGGCACATGGAGTGCATTCAATAAATGTTTAGAGGATGCATGGGAGGTAACAATCTAATGCAGTGTGCAATTAAGTGCTGGGCTGAGCTGTGTTTGTCCCTGGCCAGTATCTTCTGCAGCATCCAGTACAAAGTTGGACTTATGGAAGGCAATCTGTAAGCATGTATTTATTGATTGGTTGACTAATTTCTGGATGTAAACAGCTTCAAGGTGGGGCTTTGGGTGAGAGGCACACCACAATTTATAGTGTCCCACACACAATTTCACAGGCATGCCTTAGATGGCTGCCGCTGCCATTTTATGTGGGTGGCTGTAGTTCATTCCTATATTCACAGTCCTGCCCAGTAGCTTCCCAGGGAAGCTCCTTCCCAGGGTGACTCTGTAGCTGACAGCTCATCCTGTGGCCAGAGTGATGGCTTTACCTACAGCACCTGGCTCAGGGCCCAGTGTGGGCAGCCAGATGGGCCTTGACTCACCATGGGCCTGAGCTGGGCTCAGCTTTACTTTGGTCTCTTGGCTTGCGAGCCTGGTGGGGTTAGGGTGTCATGCCGCTGCCTGGGGTATGGCTTTTAGAACTTCCAGCTGGTGAGGGTCCCTTTTTGTCCTGAGGACCAATTTAAAGATGGTAAGCCATCTTGGTAAGACAGTGGCTTCACGATCACTAGGGTAGGGAGGTGCCATCATCATTCCTGCTTGGAAGCCCCCTCTGAAAGGTCTCACAATTGGTGAAAAGCTGCTGGGCGTGGTGGTGCACGCCTTCAGTCCCAGCACTCAGGAGGCAGAGGCAGGCAGATCTCTATGAGTTCAAAGCCAACCTGGTCTATATAGTGAGTTCCAGGCCAGCTGATGCTACAAGGAGACCTTGTCTCAAAAGAAAAAAGAAAGAAAAAAAAAAAGAAGAAAAGAAAAGCTATAGAGCATATGTGGCATAAGGGGAAGACATACAGAAATAGGCCAGGGCCTGGCATCAGCATCATTACTCACAGTGTGCACCCTAGGCAAACTGACCTCTTAAAGTCTCCTGTCTTCCTGTCTATAAAGTAGGAACAGTAATCCTCTCTCCCAAACTTTTCTAGAGACTAATGAACATGGGCTCCCTGTGGGCCAGCTGTTCTCTTCTTGTCCTTTCAATCCTTCTGGAACTCTTATCATCGCCATTTTCACAGACAAGGAGACAGAGATTCATAGAAGTGAAGTGTCCATGGCCAGAGTCCTATATAGCTAGTCCTAGGGCACTGGAGACCAGGTCTGGCTTCCTCTAACCTCACTTTCAATGGCAACAGGCTTCAGTCATATAGTTGCTGACTGTACTGGGGCTGGCATTTTGGCCTGGCCTGGGGAACAGCATCTAGCCATTGCTTGGGTGGTAGCTCATCGAGGTTTGGAGGAGATGAGTTTGAACATCATGAATTTTTTCCTAGGCTGTGTGACCGAGATTCCTGACGAGGGAGACTGAGAGGAAGAGAAGAAGGAGGGGCGGGCTCCTGGCAAGGCATTCTCTCTGGAATAGAGTCCTGCAAAGGTCAGTAGGTGGGACAGTGAAGAGAGATGGAGGTTAGATGGGGGAATGCTGGATACCTCATGTTGCGTTTGGAAGCTGGGCCCTGGATAGGACAAAGGGTTGTTTGCCTCCTTTCCGTCTTCTCTGCTGTGCCTTAGAAAGACATGTGACAGGTCACCCTCCTCCCCAGGGAACCCCTCACTTGGCAGGTGAGTGGAGGGAGCAGGTGAATGGGTGAGGGCTTCACTCCCCGGGTGTGCACAGCACCAAAGAACCATGGCTTGCTTATGCTTTTCTGCCCTCATGGTCCCCACTGACCTGAGCTTCGTTTCCTTACCTCATTCCAGATGGAAAAGGAGGAGGAGACAACCAGGGAGCTGCTGCTGCCCAACTGGCAGGGCAGTGGCTCCCATGGGCTGACCATTGCCCAGAGGGATGATGGAGTCTTTGTACAGGAGGTGATGCAGAATTCCCCTGCGGCTCGCACTGGAGTGGTCAAGGAGGGTAAGTTTCCCCAAGATACTGACTGAGCACTAGTGGTAAGAGAGGCTATTAGATGGAAGGGCAGGAGGCAGAGGGCCAGGTAGAACCAAGCAAGTGGCTGTGGAAGGCCTGGTTCCAGCAACACAAGGATGGTCAGTACCCTGTCCTTCCTTTCCCACTCTGTGCCCTTGTTTGTGAATCTTAGAGAAGGTGGTCATGTGGGGTCCTGGAGATGTAGTCCTCAGATCTGATTCTGCACCCAACCCCAGCTTTGCAGCTTTGTGTAAATTAGTTGGCCTTTCTAAACCTCAGTTTCCTCATCTGTACAATGGCCAGTGCCATGCCTATATAGTGTTCATGGAGTTAAGGCCAAGTCACTTTTAGTGCCCAGAACATTTTCATTACATTGAGCTTTCTTGAGACCTTGTGGGTCTTACCTGATGCTCTTCCTTGCTCAGGGGACCAGATTGTGGGTGCCACCATCTACTTTGACAACTTGCAGTCAGGTGAGGTGACCCAGCTGCTGAACACCATGGGACATCACACTGTTGGCCTAAAGCTGCACCGCAAGGGGGACCGTTCCCCCGAACCTGGCCAGACCTGGACCCATGAAGTCTTCAGCTCCCGTAGTTCTGAGGTGGTTCTGGTGAGTAACTCGATGGCCCACATGTACTCTGAGCTCCCCAAGCCCATGGTGGCCTGCTGCCCCATTTCCTGAGCCTTTTGTCTGCCTTTCAGACCTCTGTTAGTTCTGTCTTCTTTCATCTCTTTGCATTCCTCTGTGACTTTTGTCAGCCTATTTCATCTTGTTTGCGTGTGGCGTATATATGTGGCTGATTCTGTCCTTAAAGGTAAAGTGTTCAGCCGGGCATGGTGGCACACACCTTTAATCCCAGCACTTGGGAGGCAGAGGCAGGAGGATCTTTGTGAGTTTGAGGCCAGCCTGGTCTCCATAGTGAATCCAGGACAGGTGGGGCTACAGGGAGACCCAGTCTCAAAGAGACTGAAAAAAAAAGGGAAAGTGTTCCTTCAGTCTCTTGGGAGTACCCTCTGTGCTGTGGCATGGGAGCCAACCCAAGCAACAGGGGCCTGCATGCCAACAGGAAAGTTGACTGCTTTGCAGGAGTCTTTGAAATGGTTTCACTGCTGTTCCCCTGTGCCTCACAGATATCGTTCCTCTGTACATTCTGTGAGTCAGAGGTGGGTGGACCAGTGCCTGTGAGGGATGCTCCTAATGGCTTGTTTATTGAACAAACCATGTGTCCTCAAAGTGAAAGTGTAACCCAAACAGGCCAAGCTGTTAGGCTGCACAGATGCTTTCCAGTGTGCAAAAGGCCCTTGGGAGGCCATCTAAAACAAGTAAACCAGTGAATTGAGAGTTGAGGGAGGAATGGCCTGGTTGGGGGTGAGTCCCTGGAACAGGTTGATTTGAACCACTATGAGATTACAGATCCTCTTCCCAGACAACATAGTTCAGGGGCCTATGTAGTCCCTAATCCTCCCATGGCCTTTGCTTACCAGAATTTTCTCCCCAGTAATTTCTGTTTTCCTCCTGTGATGTGGCTGTTAGCCTCTTTCTTCAGTCCCTTGTGTTCTGCCTCAGGAGGCTCTCTGGACCCTCATTATAGTCTAAGCTTCTTTGGGAAACAGACAACCCTGTTGTCAGCTGGGCTGCAGCTGGGCATCTGCCTATTCAGGCGGGCTCTGCTGCAACTTCTGCCGGGCATGTCTTTCTGCAGAGCGGGGATGATGAGGAGTACCAGCGCATCTATACCACAAAGATCAAGCCTCGGCTGAGGTCGGAGGATGGAGTGGAAGGGGACCTGGGAGAAACCCAGAGCCGCACCATCACAGTGACTAAAAGAGTCACAGCCTACACCGTGGATGTGACTGGTCGAGAAGGAGTCAAGGACATCGACATCAGCAGCCCAGAGTTCATGATCAAGATTCCAAGGCATGAAGTGACTGAAATCTCCAATGTGGATGTGGAGACCCAGCCTGGGAAGACAGTGATCAGACTGCCCTCGGGATCGGGGGTAACCTCTCCAATCACAGGCTCTGCCGTGGACATCCAGGCAGGGGCCATTTCCGCTTCAGGACCAGAGCTCCAAGGTCCTGGCCACTCAAAATTTCAGGTCACCGTGCCTGGGATAAAGGTGGGAAGCCCGGGTGTCAATATCAGTGCAAAAAGCTTGGACTCGGGTGGCAAAGGAAGGGTCCAAGTTCCAGGAGTGGACATTTCCTCTTCTCTTGGGGGTGGGGCAGTAGAGGTGCAGGGCCCATCCTTACAGAGTGGTGATATTGGGAAAATTAAAATTCCTACCATGAAGATGCCAAAATTTGGTGTCTCAGCAGGCCCCGAGGGCCAGGCACCGGAGGCAGGGCTGAATGTTTCTGCACCAGAATTCTCTGTGGGGCACAAGGGTGACAAGCCAGCCTTGATCGTTGGTGGGCACATCCAGGCCCCTCATGTGGAAGTCAGTGCCCCTTCTGCCAGTGTTAAGGGGCTTGAGGGGAAGCTGAAGGGTCCCCAAATCACTGGGCCATCACTTGAGGGTAATTTAGGCATGAAAGATGCAAAGCTGCAGGGGAACATAGGAATGGATACCTATGCTCCCAAAATTGAGGGTGGCTTCACTGGTCCCAGTGTGGAAGTTCGAGCCCCTCATGTTGATGTTCATGGGCTAGGGGGCAAACTGAATGTGCCTGAGATGAAAGTCCCTAAATTCTCTGCGCCAGGTTCAAAGGGAGAGGGAGCTGGCATTGATGTGACATTGCCCACAGGTGAACTGACTCTTCCTGGAGTCTCTGGGGAGGTCAGCCTGCCTGAGATTGCTGTTGGTGGGCTAGAAGGAAAGATGAAGGGTGATAAAGTCAAGACTCCTGAAATGATCATTCAGAAACCTAAACTCTCCATGCAAGATGTGGATCTGAGCCTTGGGTCCGGCAAACTGAAGGGAGATATTAAAGTATCTGCTTCTGAGGTGAAAGGTGACGCTAAAGGCCCTCAGGTGGCAGTTAAAGGCCCCCGAGTGGACATAGAGACACCAAACCTAGAGGGGACTGTGACAGGCCCCAAGCTCAGTGGTCCTGGGAAACCAGAAACCTGCAGGATCTCTATGGCAGACGTAGACTTAAATGTGGCTTCACCCAAAGGGAAAGGGGGTATAGATGTCATACTCCCAAAAGTAGAAGGGAAAGTCAGAGTCCCTGATATTGATGTCAAAGGCCCCAAAGTGGATGTCAGTGCCCCAGATGTGGAAGTTCATAGCCCAGAATGGAACCTGAAAATGCCCAAGATGAAGATGCCCAAGTTCAGTGCTCCAGGAGTCAAAGGAGAAGGCCCAGATGTAGATGGGACTCTACCTAAAGGAGATATCAGTATTTCAGGGCCTAAGGTCAATGTAGAAACCCCAAATGTCAATGTGGAAGGTCTGGGAGGCAAACTTAAAGGCCCTGATATTAAGCTCCCTGAAGTAACTGTCAAGACTCCAAAGATACCTGATGTAGACGTGCATGTTAAAGGTTCAAAGGTGAAGGGAGAGTATGAGGCAACAGTGCCAAAGCTTGAGGCCGAACTGAAAGGCCCCAAAGTGGACACTGATACCCCAGAAGTAGATGTGCATGGCCCCGATTGGCACCTGAAGATGCCCAAAATGAAAATACCCAAATTCAGTGTTCCAGGGATCAAAGCAGAGAGCCCAGAAGTCGAGATGAACCTGCCCAAGGCTGATGTGGACATTTCTGGGCCTAAGGTAGAGGTCAGTGCTCCAGATATAAGCATTGAGGGAGCAGAAGGAAAATTGAAAGGGCCCAAGTTTAAAATGCCTGAAATGAATATCAAAGCTCCGAAGATCTCCATGCCAGATGTGGACTTACACTTGAAAGGCCCCAGTGCAAAGGGAGAATATGATGTTACAGTGCCAAGGGCTGAAGGTGAGCTTAAAGTTCCTGATGTTGAACTTAAAAGTGCCAAATTGGACATTGATGTCCCAGATGTGGATGTTCAAGGCCCAGACTTGAAGATGCCCAAGATGAAAATGCCCAAGTTCAGCATGCCAGGCTTCAAAGGAGAGGGTCCAGAAGTGGATGTGAACCTCCCTAAGGCCAACGTTGATGTCTCAGGACCGAAAGTGGATGTTGAAGTTCCAGATGTGAATATAGAAGTACCTGAAGGAAAGCTGAAGGGTCCCAAGCTTAAGATGCCAGAGATGAATATCAAAGCTCCAAAGATCTCCATGCCTGATGTGGATTTGCATATGAAAAGTCCCAAGGTCAAAGGAGAGTATGATGTCACAATGCCAAAGCTGGAAGGGGACTTGAAAGGCCCCAAAATAGATGTCAGTGCTCCAGATGTTGATGTTCATGGTCCTGATTGGAACTTGAGAATGCCAAAGATTAAAATGCCCAAATTCAGCATGCCCAGTCTCAAAGGAGAAGGCCCAGAATTGGATGCAAACGTGCCTAAGGCTGATGTAGACATTTCTGCACCAAAGCTAGATATTAGTCCTCCAGATCTGAACCTTGAAGGACCAGAAGGGAAGTTGAAAGGTCCCAAGTTTAAGATGCCTGAGGTGCATTTCAAGGCCCCAAAGGTGTCTCTGCCAGATGTTGACTTGGATCTTAAAGGACCCAAAATGAAAGGAAATATAGATATATCATCACCAAAAATAGAAGGAGAGATGACAGTTCCAGATGTGGACATCAAAGGTCCTAAGGTAGATATTAAAGCACCAGATGTGGAAGGCCAAGGCCCAGACTGGAGTTTGAAGATGCCGAAGATGAAAATGCCCAAGTTCAGTATGCCTTCTCTCAAAGGTGAGGGCCCAGATGGGGACGTGAACCTGTCCAAGGCTAGCATTGATGTCTCAGGACCTAAAGTTGACATTGAAACCCCAGATGTGAACCTTGAGGGACCAGAAGGAAAGCTGAAGGGTCCCAAATTTAAGATGCCTGAGATGCACTTTAAGGCTCCCAAGATCTCCATGCCTGATGTGGACTTGAACTTGAAAGGCCCCAAAGTCAAAGGAGGAGATCTGGATGTGACTGTGCCCAAGGTAGAAGGTGAAATAGAAGTGCCAGATGTGGACATCACGGGGCCAAAAGTAGACGTCAGTGCCCCAGATGTGGGTGTTCATGGTCCAGATTGGCACCTGAAGATGCCCAAGATGAAAATGCCCAAGTTCAGCATGGCTGGCCTCAAAACAGAGGGCCCTGAAGTAGATATGAGCATACCCAAGTCTGACATCGATGTCTCAGGGCCCAAGGTGGACCTTGAGACCCCAGATGTGAGTCTTGAAGGGCCAGAAGGGAAGCTGAAGGGCCCCAAGTTTAAGATGCCTGACATGCACTTCAAGGCCCCCAAGATCTCCATGCCTGATGTGGACTTGCATCTTAAAGGGCCCAAAGTAAAAACAGATGTGGATGTGTCTTTACCCGAGGTAGAAGGTGAAATAAAAGTGCCAGATGTTGGCATTAAAGGGCCTAAAGTTGGCATTGATGCTCCAGATGTGGACGTTCACGGCCCAGACTGGCACCTAAAGATGCCTAAGATGAAAATGCCCAAGTTTAGCATGCCTGGCTTCAAAGGAGAAGGTCCAGAAGTGGACATTAATCTTCCTAAGGCCAACATTGATGTCTCGGGACCCAAGGTGGACATTGATGCTCCAGATGTGAATATCGAAGGTCCAGATGCAAAAATAAAAAGCCCCAAATTTAAGATGCCAGAAATGAATATAAAGCCTCAGAAGATATCCATGCCAGATGTTAGCTTGAATTTGAAAGGCCCTAAAGGGAAAGGAGATTATGATGTCTCACTTCCAAAAGTAGGAGAGATAAAACCTCCTGCTGTTGACATCAAGGGCCCCAAAGTAGACATTAATGCACCAGATGTGGAAGTTCATGGCCCAGATTGGCACCTGAAGATGCCTAAGGTCAAAATGCCCAAGTTCAGCATGCCTAGTTTCAAAGGAGAGGGCCCTGAAGTGGATGTGAACCTTCCAAAGGCCAGTGTTGATGTCTCAGGACCCAAAATGGACATTGATGTTCCAGATGTGAATATTGAAGCTCCAGAGGGGAAACTAAAGGGTCCTAAGTTTAAAATGCCAAGCATGAATATACAGACACACAAAATCTCTATGCCTGATGTCGGGCTTAATCTGAAAGGACCTAAACTAAAAACTGATGTGGATATTTCTCTTCCGAAAGTAGAGGGAGATTTGAAAGGTCCTGAAGTTGATGTTAAAGCCCCTAAGATGGATGTGGATGTCGGTGATATTGATATTGAATGTCCGGAAGGAAAATTGAAAGGCCCCAAGTTTAAGATGCCAGACATGCATTTCAAGACCCCCAAGATCTCCATGCCTGATGTGGACTTACACTTGAAAGGCCCCAAAGTCAAAGGGGATATGGATGTGTCTGTGCCTAAATTGGAAGGTGAAATAAAAGTGCCAGATGTGGACATCAAGGGGCCAAAAGTAGACGTCAGTGCCCCAGATGTGGACGTTCATGGGCCAGATTGGCACCTGAAGATGCCCAAGATGAAAATGCCCAAGTTCAGCATGCCTGGCTTCAAAGCAGAGGGCCCAGATATGGATATGAATCTGCCTCAGGCTGACATTAATGTCTCTGCACCCAAGGTAGACATTGATGCTCCTGATTTGGATATCGAAGGACCAGAAGGAAAACTGAAAGGCTCTAAATTTAAGATGCCCAAATTGAATATCAAGGCTCCCAAGATCTCCATGCCAGATGTAGACTTGAATTTGAAAGGGCCTAAACTGAAAGGAGAGATAGATGCTTCTGTGCCAGAAATGGAAGCTGAGCTCAGAGGTCCACAAGTTGATATCAAAGGTCCTAGTGTGGATGTGGAAGTGCCTGATGTTGATCTGGAATGTCCTGATGCAAAGTTGAGGGGCCCCAAGTTTAAGATGCCTGACATGCACTTTAAGACTCCCAAGATCTCCATGCCTGATGTGGACTTACACTTGAAAGGCCCCAAAGTCAAAGGTGATATGGATGTGTCTGTACCAAAATTGGAAGGAGATTTGAAAGGGCCCAGTGTGGATGTGGAAATGCCTGATGTTGATCTGGAATGTCCTGATGCAAAGTTGAAGGGCCCCAAGTTTAAGATGCCAGACATGCATTTCAGGGCCCCTAAGATCTCCATGCCTGATGTGGACTTAAATTTGAAAGGTCCCAAAGTCAAGGGGGATATGGATGTGACTGTGCCCAAGGTAGAGGGTGAAATGAAAGTGCCAGATGTGGACATCACAGGACCTAAAGTAGACATCAGTGCTCCAGATGTGGGTATTCATGGTCCAGATTGGCACCTGAAGATGCCCAAGATGAAAATGCCCAAGTTCAGCATGCCTGGCTTCAAAGCAGAGAGCCCAGATGTGGATGTGAACCTGCCGAAGGCTGACATTGATGTCTCAGGGCCCAAGGTGGACATTGACGTCCCTGATGTGAGTCTTGAAGGTCCAGAAGGGAAACTGAAGGGTCCTAAGTTTAAGATGCCTGACATGCATTTCAAGGCCCCCAAGATCTCCATGCCTGATGTGGACTTACACTTGAAAGGCCCCAAAGTCAAAGGCGATATGAATGTATCTGTGCCAAAGTTAGAAGGAGATTTGAAAGGGCCCAGTGTGGATGTGGAAGTGCCTGATGTTGATCTGGAATGTCCTGATGCAAAGTTGAAGGGCCCCAAGTTTAAGATGCCTGACATGCACTTCAAGGCTCCCAAGATCTCCATGCCTGATGTGGACTTAAACTTGAAAGGCCCCAAAGTCAAAGGAGATATGGATGTGTCTGTGCCAAAGTTAGAAGGAGATTTGAAAGGGCCCAGTGTGGATGTGGAAGTGCCTGATGTTGATCTGGAATGTCCTGATGCAAAGTTGAAGGGCCCCAAGTTTAAGATGCCTGACATGCACTTTAAGGCCCCTAAGATCTCTATGCCTGATGTTGATTTCAACTTAAAGGGTCCTAAAGTCAAAGGAGACATTGATGTTTCAGCACCAAAGCTTGAGGGAGCTTTAAAGGGTCCTGAACTGGACATCAAAGGCCCTAAGTTGGATGTTGACATGCCAGAAGTAGCCGTGGAAGGCCCAGAAGGCAAATGGAAAAGTCCTAAGTTCAAGATGCCAGACATGCACTTTAAAGCTTCCAAAATTTCTATGCCCAACATTGATCTTCACTTAAAGAGTCCGAAGGTAAAGGGAGAAATGGATATAGATGCTCCCAAATTGGAAGGAGATCTCAAAGGGCCACATTTGGATGTGAGTGGGCCAGACATTGACATTGAAGGACCGGAGGGCAAATTGAAAGGCCCTAAGTTCAAGATGCCGGAGATGAACATCAAAGCCCCCAAGATCTCCATGCCTGACATTGATTTGCATCTTAAGGGTCCTAAAGTAAAGGGAGATGTGGATGTTTCCCTGCCCAGAGTGGAAGGTGACATCAGAGGCCCTGAAGTTGATGTCACAGGTCCAAAAATGGACATTAATGCACCGGATGTGGGTGTTCAAGGCCCAGACTGGCACCTAAAAATGCCTAAGATGAAAATGCCCAAGTTCAGCATGCCTGGCTTCAAAGCAGAGGGCCCTGAAGTGGATGTGAACCTTCCCAAGGCTGACCTTGATGTCTCAGGACCCAAGGTGGACATTGAAGGTCCTGATGTTAGCATTGAAGGACCAGAAGGAAAGCTGAAAGGTCCAAAGTTCAAGATGCCGGAGATGAACATCAAGGCCCCCAAGATCTCCATGCCTGACATTGATTTGCATCTTAAGGGCCCTAAGGTAAAGGGAGATGTGGATGTTTCCTTGCCCAAAGTGGAAGGTGACCTCAAAGGCCCCAAAGTTGACATTAATGCTCCAGATATGGATGTTCAAGGTCCAGATTGGCACTTGAAGATGCCAAAAGTGAAAATGCCCAAGTTCAGCATGCCTGGCTTCAAAGGAGAGGGCCCAGAAGTGGATGTGAGCTTGCCCAAGGCAGACGTCAGTGTCTCAGGACCCAAGGTGGACATTGAAGGTCCTGATGTTAGCATTGAAGGACCAGAAGGAAAGCTGAAAGGTCCGAAGTTCAAGATGCCAGAGATGAACATCAAGGCCCCCAAGATCTCCATGCCTGACATTGATCTTAACCTGAAAGGCCCCAAAGTGAAGGGCGATGTGGATGTGTCTCTGCCAAAAGTGGAGGGTGAGATTAAAGTTCCTGAAGTTGACCTCAAAGGGCCTAAAGTGGACGTTGATGCCCCAGATGTGGACGTTCATGGCCCAGACTGGCACCTGAAGATGCCCAAGGTGAAAATGCCCAAGTTCAGCATGCCTGGCTTCAAAGGAGAGGGCCCAGAAGTGGATGTGAGCCTGCCCAAGGCAGACGTCAGTGTCTCAGGACCCAAAGTGGACATTGATGTTCCAGATATGAATATCGAAGGTCCAGATGCGAAACTAAAGGGCCCCAAGTTCAAGATGCCAGAGATGAACATCAAGGCTCCTAAGATCTCAATGCCAGATTTGGACCTTAATCTTAAAGGACCAAAAGTGAAAGGAGATGTGGATGTTTCTCTTCCAAATATAGAGGGCGATTTGAAAGGACCTTCTCTTGACATAAAGGGCCCAAAGTTAGATGTAGATGCTCCAGATATTGACATTCATGGCCCTGAGGGCAAATTAAAGGGTCCCAAGCTAAAAATGCCTGATATGCATGTAAACATGCCCAAGATCTCCATGCCAGAAATTGATTTGAATTTGAAGGGCTCAAAGCTGAAGGGTGATGTTGATATCTCTGGACCCAAATTGGAGGGTGACATTAAAACTCCTAAATTGGATGTAAGGGGCCCAGAAGTGGATATTTCTGGTCCTAAGGTCAACATAGAAGGAAAATCAAAGAAATCTCGTTTTAAGCTTCCCAAATTTAATTTTTCTGGATCCAAAGTTCAGACACCTGAAGTGGATGTCAAAGTTAAAAAGCCAGATGTTGATGTAACAGTTCCAAAAGTTGATATTAATGCTCCAGAGGTTGAAGTCCAAGGAAAAGTGAAAGGATCCAAGTTTAAAATGCCTTTCCTGAGTATTTCTTCTCCCAAAGTTTCTATGCCTGATGTGGAACTAAATTTGAAAACTCCTAAAGTCAAAGGAGACTTAGATGTAGCAGGTCCGAATTTGGAAGGAGACTTTAAAAGTCCCAAAGTGGATATGAAAGCACCAGACGTTCATCTTAATGCACCTGATATGGATGTTCATGGTCCAGAATGGAATCTGAAAATGCCCAAGATGAAAATGCCCAAGTTCAGTGTGTCTGGCTTAAAAGCAGAAGGGCCTGATGTGGCTGTGGATGTACCAAAAGGAGACATTAACATTCAGGGTCCCAGTATGAACATTGAGGGTCCAGAACTCAATGTAGAAGGTCCAGAGGGAAGCTTAAAAGGTCCCAAATTCAAGATGCCTGAGATGAACATCAGAGCTCCAAAGATCTCCATGCCCGACATTGACCTAAACCTCAAGGGCCCCAAGGTGAAAGGTGATATGGATGTTTCCCTTCCCAAACTTGAAGGGGATCTTAAAGGGCCAGAGATTGACATTAAAGGCCCTAAAGTGGACATTGATGCCCCAGATGTGGACGTTCATGGCCCAGACTGGCATCTGAAGATGCCCAAGGTGAAAATGCCCAAGTTCAGCATGCCTGGCTTCAAAGGAGAGGGTCCAGAAGTGGATGTGAACCTGCCCAAGGCTGACATTGATGTCTCAGGACCTAAGGTGGACATTGAAGGTCCTGACGTTAACATCGAAGGACCAGAAGGAAAGTTGAAAGGCCCTAAGTTCAAGATGCCAGAGATGAACATCAAGGCCCCCAAGATCTCCATGCCTGACATTGATCTTAACCTGAAAGGCCCCAAAGTAAAGGGCGATGTGGATGTGTCTCTGCCAAAAGTGGAGGGTGATCTAAAGGGCCCTGAGGTGGATATTACAGGTCCCAAAGTGGACATTGACATTCCTGATGTCAGCATTGAAGGCCCAGAGGGTAAGCTGAAAGGGCCCAAATTTAAAATGCCAGAGATGCACCTAAAAGCTCCCAAAATATCTATGCCTGATATAGATTTAAATCTGAAAGGCCCCAAAATGAAGGGCGATATGGATGTTTCCCTCCCCCAAATTGAAGGGGATCTTAAAGGCCCAGAGGTTGACATCAAAGGTCCAAAAATGGACATCAGTGCCCCAGATGTCGATGCTCATGGCCCAGACTGGCACTTGAAGATGCCCAAGGTAAAAATGCCAAAGTTCAGCATGCCTGGCTTTAAAGGAGAGGGCCCAGAAGTGGATGTGAACCTGCCCAAGGCTGACATCGATGTCTCAGGGCCCAAGGTGGACATCGAAAGTCCTGATGTTAGCCTTGAAGGACCAGAAGGAAAGTTGAAAGGTCCGAAGTTTAAGATGCCTGAGATGAACATCAAAGCCCCCAAGATCTCCATGCCTGATTTGCATCTGAAAGGTCCGAAAGTGAAGGGAGATGTGGATGTTTCCCTGCCCAAAGTGGAAGGTGACCTCAAAGGCCCTGAAATTGACATCAAAGGCCCTAAGCTGGACATTAATGCTCCGGATGTAGATGTTCAAGGCCCAGATTGGCACCTGAAGATGCCCAAGGTGAAAATGCCCAAGTTCAGCATGCCTGGCTTCAAAGGAGAGGGCCCAGAAGTGGATGTGAACCTTCCCAAGGCTGATATTGATGTCTCAGGGCCCAAGGTGGACATTGAAGGTCCTGATGTTAGCATTGAAGGACCAGAAGGAAAGCTGAAAGGTCCGAAGTTCAAGATGCCGGAGATGAACATCAAGGCCCCCAAGATCTCCATGCCTGACATTGATCTTAACCTGAAAGGCCCCAAAGTGAAGGGCGATGTGGATGTGTCTCTGCCAAAAGTGGAGGGTGAGATTAAAGTTCCTGAAGTTGACCTCAAAGGGCCTAAAGTGGACATTGATGCCCCAGATGTGGATGTTCATGGCCCAGACTGGCACCTGAAGATGCCCAAGGTGAAAATGCCCAAGTTCAGCATGCCTGGCTTCAAAGGAGAGGGCCCAGAAATAGATGTGAACCTGCCCAAGGCAGACGTCAGTGTCTCAGGACCCAAAGTGGACATTGATGTTCCAGATGTGAATATTGAAGGTCCAGATGTGAAACTAAAGGGCCCCAAGTTCAAGATGCCAGAGATGAACATCAAGGCACCCAAGATCTCCATGCCTGACTTTGATTTGCATTTGAAGGGTCCTAAGATGAAAGGAGATGTGGATGTTTCTCTGCCTAAAGTAGAAGGTGATCTAAAGGCTCCTGAAGTTGATATCAAAGGCCCAAAACTAGATATTGATGCCCCAGATGTTGATGTTCAAGGCCCAGATTGGCACCTGAAGATGCCCAAGGTGAAAATGCCCAAGTTCAGCATGCCTGGCTTCAAAGGAGAGGGTCCAGAAGTAGATGTGAGCCTGCCCAAGGCTGACATCGATGTCTCAGGACCCAAGGTGGATGTAGATGCTCCTGACATTGACATTCATGGTCCAGAAGGGAAACTAAAGGGCCCTAAGTTTAAAATGCCTGATCTCCACCTCAAGGCACCCAAGATCTCCATGCCTGAAGTTGACCTGAATCTAAAAGGGTCAAAGGTGAAGGGCGAAGTAGATGTGTCTCTGCCAAAAGTGGAAGGAGACCTCAAAGGCCCTGAAGTTGACATCAAAGGTCCCAAAGTGGACATCAGTGCCCCAGATGTGGATGTTCAAGGTCCAGATTGGCACCTGAAGATGCCCAAAGTGAAAATGCCTAAGTTCAGCATGCCTGGCTTCAAAGGAGAGGGCCCAGAAGTGGATGTGAACCTTCCCAAGGCTGACATTGATGTCTCAGGGCCCAAGGTGGACATTGAAGGTCCTGATGTTAGTGTTGAAGGACCAGAAGGAAAGTTGAAAGGTCCGAAGTTCAAGATGCCTGAGTTGAACATCAAGGCCCCCAAGATCTCCATGCCTGATTTGCATCTGAAAGGTCCGAAAGTGAAGGGAGATGTGGATGTTTCCCTGCCCAAAGTGGAAGGTGATCTCAAAGGCCCTGAAATTGACATCAAAGGTCCTAAAGTGGACATTGATGCCCCAGATGTGGACGTTCATGGTCCAGACTGGCACCTGAAGATGCCCAAGGTGAAAATGCCCAAGTTCAGCATGCCTGGCTTCAAAGGAGAGGGCCCAGAAGTGGATGTGAGCCTGCCCAAGGCAGACATCGATGTCTCTGGACCCAAGATGGACATTGATGTACCTGATGTGAATATTGAAGGTCTGGATATGAAGATGAAAGGTCCCAAGTTTAAGATGCCTGAGATTAATATCAAGGCTCCCAAGATCTCCATGCCTGATGTTGATCTGGATTTAAAAGGACCCAAAGTAAAAGGAGACTTTGATGTGTCTGCTCCTAAGATTGACGGTACTTTCAAAAGGTCCTAAAGTGGACATTAATGCTCCGGATGTCAACATTGAAAGTCCAGAAGGAAAATTACAGGGCCCGAAATTTAAAATGCCAGACATGCACATCAAAGCTCCTAAGATTTCCATGCCTGACTTTGACTTAAATCTTAAAGGGCCTAAAGTAAAGGGCGATGTGGACCTTGCACTACCTAAAGTGGAAGGTGAGCTGAAAGGACCAGAGATAGACATTGAGGGTCCTGAAGGAAAACTCAAAGGTCCCAAATTTAAGGTGCCAGATGTCCATTTTAAAACTCCACAAATCTCTATGAGTGACATTGATTTGAACTTGAAAGGACCTAAGATAAAGGGAGATTTGGACATTTCCATTCCGAAACCAGAAGGAGATTTGAAAGGTCCCAAAGTAGATGTCAAAGGCCCTAAACTGGACATAGACACTCCTGACATTGACATTCATGGTCCAGAAGGGAAACTGAAGGGCCCCAAGTTTAAAATGCCTGATCTCCACCTCAAGGCACCCAAGATCTCCATGCCTGAAGTTGACCTGAATCTAAAAGGGCCAAAGGTGAAGGGCGAAGTAGATGTGTCTCTGCCAAAAGTGGAAGGAGACCTCAAAGGCCCTGAAGTTGACATCAAAGGTCCCAAAGTGGACATCAGTGCCCCAGATGCGGACGTTCAAGGTCCAGATTGGCACCTGAAGATGCCCAAAGTGAAAATGCCCAAGTTCAGCATGCCTGGCTTCAAAGGAGAGGGTCCTGAAGTGGATGTGAGCCTGCCCAAGGCTGACATTGATGTCTCAGGGCCCAAGGTGGACATTGAAGGTCCTGATGTTAGCATTGAAGGACCAGAAGGAAAGCTGAAAGGCCCTAAGTTCAAGATGCCAGAGATGAACATCAAGGCCCCCAAGATCTCCATGCCTGACATTGATCTTAACCTGAAAGGCCCCAAAGTGAAGGGCGATGTGGATGTGTCTCTGCCAAAAGTGGAAGGTGACATCAAAGGCCCTGAAGTTGATATCACAGGTCCAAAAATGGACATTAATGCACCGGATGTGGGTGTTCAAGGCCCAGACTGGCACCTGAAGATGCCTAAGATGAAAATGCCCAAGTTCAGCATGCCTGGCTTCAAAGGAGAGGGCCCAGAAGTGGATGTGAGCCTGCCCAAGGCAGACATCGATGTCTCTGGACCCAAGATGGACATTGATGTACCTGATGTGAATATTGAAGGTCTGGATATGAAGATGAAAGGTCCCAAGTTTAAGATGCCTGAGATTAATATCAAGGCTCCCAAGATCTCCATGCCTGATGTTGATCTGGATTTAAAAGGACCCAAAGTAAAAGGAGACTTTGATGTGTCTGCTCCTAAGATTGACGGTACTTTCAAAGGGCCTGAAGTAGACCTTAAAGGCCCAAGTCTGGACTTTGAAGGCCCTGATGCCAAACTTAGTGGTCCTAGTTTGAAGATGCCATCGTTGGATATATCTGTTCCTAAAGTAACTGTGCCTGATATTGATTTGCATCTCAAGACACCAAAAATTGGAGTTTCTGGTCCGAAGTTAGAAGGTGGTGAAGTGGACCTCAAGGGGCCCAAAGTTGATTTAGAAACTCCAAGCTTAGATGCACACATGGAGAGCCCAGATATCAGTATTGAGGGGCCAGATGTTAAATTACCCAAATTTAAGAAACCCAAATTTGGATTTGGTGCAAAAAGCCCTAAAACTGACATCAAGATGCCGTCACTTGATGTGACAGCTCCTGAAGCTGAGCTGAATGTTGAGGCTCCTGAAATTAGCATTGGTGGCAAGGGCAAGAAAAGCAAGTTTAAGATGCCTAAAATCCACATGAGTGGTCCTAAAGTAAAAGCCAAAAAACAGGGATTTGATTTGAGTGTTCCAGGAGGTGAGATTGACGCCAGCCTCAAGGCTCCTGATATGGATGTCAATGTTGCAGGGCCAGATGCTGCACTCAAAGTTGACGTAAAATCTCCCAAAACCAAGAAAACTATGTTTGGAAAAATGTACTTCCCAGATGTAGAATTTGACATCAAATCACCTAAATTTAAAGCAGAGGCTCCCCTCCCTAGCCCCAAGTTGGAGGGTGAAATCAAGGTACCTGATGTGGATATTTCTTCACCAGGGATTAATGTGGAAGCTCCTGACATCAAGATGAAGGCTCCCAAGTTCAAGGTGCCAGGTGTGGATGTCTCAGGGCCCAAAATAGAGGGCCACTTGAAAGGCCCCAAAGTGCAGGCAAACTTGGACACACCTGACATCAGCATTGAAGGCTCTGATGCGAAAATCAAAGCCCCATCTTTTGGCATTTCTGCCCCTCAAGTCTCTATACCCGATGTGAATGTTAACTTGAAAGGACCAAAGATAAAGGGCGATGTTCCCAGTGTGGGACTGGAAGGACCTGATGTAGATCTGCAAGGTCCAGAAGCAAGGATCAAATTCCCTAAGTTTTCATTGCCCAAGATCAGTGCCCCTGGTGTGAAAGTGGAGGGTAGGGGCCCTGAGATCCATGCCCAGCTGCCCTCTCTTGAAGGAGGCTTGAGCACACCAGATGTTAAGCTTGAAGGGCCTGATGTTTCTCTAAAAGGCCCAGGAGTGGACTTGCCTTCGGTGAACCTCTCCATGCCAAAAGTCTCTGGGCCTGACCTTGACCTGAACTTGAAAGGACCAAGTGTGAAGGGAGATCTGGATGCATCAGCTCCCAGCATGAAGGTGCATGCCCCAGGTCTTGACCTCAGAGGTGTTGGTGGGAAGATACAGATGGGAGGAGATGGTGTGAACGTGCCAGGGATTGATGCCACGGCAGCACTTAATGTTGGGGCACCAGATGTGACGCTGAAGGGGCCGAGCCTACAGGGGGACCTTGCTGTGTCTGGTGACATCAAGTGCCCAAAAATATCTGTGGGTGTTCCTGATCTCAGCTTGGAGGCATCAGAAGGTGGTATCAAACTTCCTAAAATGAAGCTGCCTCAGTTTGGCATCTCCACTCCAGGGTCCGACTTGGACACTAACATCAAGGGGCCACAAATTGGTGGAGAACTAAAGGGGCCAGGTGTGGATGTGAACCTGAAAGGGCCTCAGATCTCAGCACCGGGCATGAACTTCAATTTGGAAGGACCAACAGTGAAGGGGAGCCTTGGGGCCACTGGCGAACTGAAAGGTCCCACAGTTGGAGGAAGTCTTCCAGGCATCAGCATTCAGGGCCTAGAAGGAAACCTCCAAATGCCTGGAATTAAGGCCTCTGGATGTGAAATGAGACTCCCGACTGGGCAGATTTCTTCTGGTCCTGAAATCAAAGGTGATCTGAAAAGTTCAGGAATAGGTCTCCACGGGGCTGTTCCTGATATCAGTGTAAAGGGGCCTTCTTTTAATATGGCATCTCCTGAGTCAGATTTTGGTGTCAGCTTGAAGGGCCCCAAAGTCAAAGGAGGTATGGATATTTCAGGGGGTATCAGCGCCCCTGACATCAGCCTGGGTGAAGGGCATATGAGTGTCAAAGGCTCTGGGGCTGAGTGGAAGGGACCCCAAGTTTCCTCTGCTCTCAGCTTGGATTCATCTAAGCTAGCTGGAGGCCTTCATCTCTCAGGACCAAAGGTAGACGCAGGTATGAAAGGAGGTCAGATTGGACTGCAGGGTCCTGGACTGAGTGTGTCTGGGCCTCAAGGTCACTTGGAAAGTGGATCTGGAAAAGTAACATTCCCCAAGATGAAGATCCCCAAATTTACCTTCTCTGGCCGTGAGCTGGTTGGTAGGGAAGCTGGGGTGGATGTCAACTTCCCTAGAGTGGAGGCCAGTGTGCAGGCTGGTGCTGGAGACAGCGAGTGGGAAGAGTCTGAAGTGAAACTTAAAAAATCCAAAATCAAAATGCCCAAGTTTAATTTTTCCAAACCTAAAGGGAAAGGAGGTGTTGCCGGCTCCCCTGAAGCATCCATTTCTGGGTCCAAAGGGGACCTGAAGAGCTCAAAGGCCAGCCTGGGCTCTCTGGAAGGAGAAGTAGAGGCCGAAGCATCTTCACCAAAAGCCAAATTCTCCCTGTTTAAAAGCAAGAAGGTAAGGCAGCGCTCCAGCTCTTTCAGTGATGACAGGGAGTCCTCCGCACCATCCACCCCAACCGGGACTTTGGAGTTTGAAAGCGGAGAGGTGTCACTCGAAGGTGGAAAAGTTAAAGGCAAACATGGGAAGCTGAAATTTGGTACCTTTGGTGGATTGGGGTCAAAGAGCAAAGGTCACTATGAAGTGACTGGGAGTGACGAAGAGGCAGGCAAGTTACAGGGGAGTGGGGTGTCCTTGGCCTCCAAGAAGTCTCGATTGTCTTCCTCATCTAGCAATGACAGTGGGACTAAAGTTGGCATCCAGCTTCCCGAGGTAGAACTGTCAGTGTCCACAAAGAAAGAGTAGCAGGCCTTTGTATGTGTGTACATATATATGTATAAATACTACATCAGCCTCGGGTGTGTTTGTATATAAACTCCAAAGAGAAACACCCCAACAGCCTCAGCAATAATGCAAAGACCTTGCCTCTATCCGTGGCAAGTCCCGAAAAACCAACCGCCTTTCGGCTCCTGGAACTCTGCAACTAGGTAAAGAGTTCTGAGTTCATCCAGCCCATGTGCAAGGTCAACGGTATTTGCCTTAAGAGTTCAGTTTTTTTGTTTTTTGTTTTGCATTGAACGCTGAGAGCACTTGTTTACTAAGCAAGCTTTTGTGTTTATTATCCTCATTTTTACTGAATATTGCTAGTTACTTGGGTAATGGAAACCCATTTTTTTCATTGTAATGACTTTTGGGGCTTTCATTAGTAAGGGAGGGTGGGATAACAGGCGGCAGAGGGGGCCAGATCTTCAATGCTCTGAAGATTAGAGCTGTTCTAACGGTAGCACCCCGGCATGACCCAGAAGAGGCGGCAGCCAGGGTGTGGGTGTTTTTCGAGCTCTGTAACGTAGCTCTTTCTCCCCAGGTGTGTTAGTTCCAGCCAGTTTGGTGCTCAAGGTGAGAGGGAATTAGAATCTGTTTGCAAATTGTCCAACCTACCAGGTCAACATTGAGGGGCTTCCATTCTGTGTTTTGTAAGAAAAAAAGTTTTATTCATAACAGCCATGTTTCTGAGAAAAGTTCTAATTTCTTTTAACAAATGTCATCATAACTAAGAAAATCTCTGGCACTTTAATGGCAATTTAATTGCGAATGTAAGAAAGTTGATGCTGTACAAGGCAAATAAAGCGTTTATTTACCCCGATGTCTAGTGCCCTTGTGTTCTGTGTTGAGGGGATGAAGATACGGAAGGCTGCACACACAGCCCTCACTGTCCAGACTGGATCCTCCTGATGGCATTACTAGTGACTCTAAGGCATGACTCTGCATAGCTTAACAGAAGGAATTCTTTGCTTCTTAGTTCTCACAATGGAGTTGACTGTATCATTGCTGGGAAATCAAGAGCAACAAAGAGGTGTAACTCACTGTAGAGCACCTGCCTGACTAACATGATCAAGGCCTTGTATTCCATCCAAAAAAATGGGTGGGTGGGTTGCTGAAGGCAGTGTTTGGCTAGTATGCATGGGACTCCGGGGTAGTACACAACTGTAGTCCCAGCACATGGACGTGAAGGGGGAGGACCAGAATTTCAAGATCATCCTTGTCAGCATATCAAATTCCACGCCAGCCTGGGATATATGAGACCATGTCTTCAAACAAACAAACACATAAACAAAGAAACACAGGGTGGCCCAGTTCCCAGGACCATCTCAGAAAGGAACTCAAGGTTCGAAAGTGGTCCTAGGTGGGTACAAGGTGAATGTAAGTGGAAAAATGCCCTATGGAATGAACAGGAAGGGTTGCATCTGTGAGTCACAGGCCTAACTTCTCATGACTCGGTTACAGATTCATTTGGTGACCTCGACTTACCCATGTCTCTGGGCCTCAGTTTCCTCTTTAAAATAAAAGTGCTGCTTTTGTACTGGGTATTTTCATGATTCTACCTGGATCCCTGTCTCAAAACAAAAACAAAAAACAAAGCAATTACTTCTGACCCTAGTGTTCTTTTGACCTCTGCAGTAGTACTGGTGAGCTTTCTAGGAACCGGGTCCTGATGTCAGTCCCTTCTAGAGAAGGGCTGGCACTGTCCTTACCTACACAGTTGAACCTGGGTGGTCTACTCACCACTTCTTAAAGCTGCTGCCTTTCTGCTAGTAGAGCCTGCTCTGTACCTGTCTATTTTCCCTGGACCAGAGCTGACAGCCCCTGCCCCATCCTGTGTGCTCCAGCACCAGCTTGTCAGTGTGTTTCTCCTACCTAGTGCAGCCTCCACTTGTCCATGCCTGGATTTCAGACATGCATTCTCCATCTTTACCCATTCTTAACTCAGTTAGCAGAATTGTGTCCGCGGAGGCATTGGGAAGAGGATGACAGGGAGGCCCTGATGTGCTGTTGCTCATCCTTGGATGACTGACCTACAGCTGCTTTTGTGAAGTGAACAAAATCCAGAACCTCTTTGAGCCTGTTCCTTACTCATGAAAGGGGGATAGTGTCCAGAGAGCCAGGGTCTGTCCAGGTGTTTGAGTTACTTACAGGCTGTGCACTCCTTATCTGACCTAGGTTTCAGAGCTTTGGGGAAGAGGGCTTTTGAATATTAGCATAAATATTTGGGGGATGGGACATTCATTAAATGTTTCTTGCATTCCTTATACATATAGCCTGAAAATAATTTTATATAATATTTTAAATAGTTTTGTGAATGAAACAGTATCGTGGTGTACATTTTTCTATTTGTTCGTATAATGCCAACACGTCAAAATTTTGTATTTTGGAGCATTCTGGATATTTAGATTATCATGTTCAGGCCAAGCCTGTGTGTCTAGCACCACCCAAGGGTATCACATTCATATCACAGCCATGTGGATTTTTTATGGAGGGCCTGATCCTGCATGGAGTCCTAGTCAGCAGGTGGGCCCTTTTCAATAGCAACCTTAGGATATACTCAAGAACTTGAGTGTGTGTACTTGTACATTGGCACACACACCTGTATGCAACTTCTTTCTGGATACAGGATCTGAGTATCCTTCAAGTTTCCTTCTTTCTCTCATTCACAGCTCAGTCCTACCCCTCTCTTAGCTCTGAAGCTGATGGGGGTAAGGTGGAGGCTGAGTGTGTGCACTGCTGGAGGCAGGCGGCCCTGGGGCCCAGGGAATGGGATGACTGGGTGACAGTGGGGTGTATTTCTTTCTTTTCTTTTTTTTTTTTTTTTTTGAGACAGAGTCTTGCACTAGTGGTCCAGTCTGTTCTAGAACTTACTAGGTAGTCTGGGCTGGCCTGGAGGCAATCTTTCTGTCTTAGCTTCCTGAGCATTGGGATTATGTGTGACTCATCATGCCCAGTGATGGGGTCTATTTGTATGCATTGCTGGAAAGATGCCCACCAGGATTCTGGAAGGTTCCCTGGGCAGAACTACCCAGGCTGTCAAACAATAGGGCAATACACTTATTCTTAGCTTGAGGAAAAGGGCATGTAGACTAGTGGTGGCCTTCACTGCCCATTCATCCAATAAATACTTTTCTGAGTACCATGTGTCTAAGCTGTCCAAGCCCCACCGACTCCACTGTCATCTTCTGCTGATTTCCACAGGCAAAATGATGTAATGGATGTAAAAATCCAGAATGCTTTGAACTCGGAAAAAAGGCAGGGGGTGGATGGGGAGAACACATCTAGTAGATATGATGAGGCCAGTGATAGCACCTGAGTTCTTCGGGTGATAACTTAATGGCTAGGACAGTGGGGGTGTCGGGTAGAATGAGTGGGTAGTAAATGGCCCTTCAACCTCAAGAAACTTCTCAGCTGTTCTCATTTCAGGCTCAGGCTGGTGGCAGTGGCCATTACTACAGAAGGAGCAGCGTGGAAGGAGGCACCAGGGGCTGGAGGATAACCTTGAACTCCTGATCCTCCTCCTTCTCCTTCTGGACTGTGGGATTACAGGCCTGAGTGCCACCACTCTGGCTTAGGCAATGCTGGGTATTGAATCCAGGGTTCCTGGTATGCTAGGCTGGCACTCTACCCACTGAGCTAGATCCCCAGCAAGAATATTTTTGTTCTTTCTCTGTTGTAACTGCCCTCAGAGTTAACTACACATTGAAAAAACTTAATTTGGTCTGGAGAGATGGCTCAGTGGGTAAAGCCTGACAACCTGAGTTCAAGGTCCAGGGACTCACATGATGGAAGGGGAGAAGTGACTTCTACAGTTTGTCCTCTGACCTACACATGCACCCCCCACAACATACATCCAGACACAAACACACAAAAGCAAAAACGAAAAAAGAGAATACTTTTTCAAAAAGAAGGAAAAAAAATTCCTTGAGAAAGCAAAAATGTTTCTGTTTTATTTTTGCAAAGAGTCAAAGGGTCTGGAAGATAGTACAGAGTTCCCAGGACCCCTAAGGAACACTGGCCTGGGAATCATTGGATTATCTCTAACACTGGGTACAACAAGGTCCATTGTGAGCCTCTGTTTACTTCTTAGTAACATAGATAAGGCATTCTCTAAGGTGCTCACCAGTTGCCAGTTCTAATAGCCCAGACCCCTCTGGAAGCATGGCTGGTGAGTTAGATGGATGGACCGTTGTGGGTCAAAAGCAAAGTGTGATTGTAACATAGTTTTCCTGTATGGTTCGGAAGTTGTCTGAAAGGTTTTGAGCAGAGGCATCAATGTCGAAATGTTGTCTCAAGTCTCTCAGAGCAAAATGGGCAGCACCACCCAGGACTTGCACATTAGTAATACACACATCCCATTCCAGAGTTCTACCTGAGTGTTCTGATGTCACACACTTGCTGTCACATTAGGAGATGGGAGACACAGCTAAGCATGCAGCTGATGTTCATTGGTTCCCTTCTCCCTCTTTCCTTTCCTCTCTCCTGCTCCCTCCCTCCCTCCC